ATGGGATTAAGTGTCTCTTATCCTCTTTTCATCCCTTGCCTGGCTTGTTTCATTTTACTTTTTGTTTAGGTTCTGGGTTTCAAAGTTCTAGTTATTTTCTAAGTAAATATTTCATAGATATGTTTCTGCTAATGTCTTCCTCAACTAGGTCTAAGGCTTTATGTACCTGTCTGAAGCACAACTTTCTCTTTCTAAGTTTTTAATACTTGCTTTGGATTTCAGGGAATTATGAACCAACTATATGACGTCATGTATGAATTTAATTTCTCCCTCCCGCCAGATTATGCTCTTGTGATAAGAGCATTGGGATCGCTAGAAGGCACAGCTAAAGTTTTGGATCCTGACTTTAAAGTCATTGAGAGTGCATATCCTTTTGTCATTGGGAGACTTATAGCAGACCCAAACCCTGATATGAGAAGAATTTTGAGGGAACTTCTCATTCGTAACAATGGATCCATAAGGTGGAACCGGCTAGAACGCCTGGTATGATCTGTTTTGTTTTTTCTACTCAGCCCTACAATATAATTGTAATGTGAACATGTTCATCCCTGTATTCCTTGAAATAAACCAAAAAGTTATTCACAAGGTTATCCAACCTGTATCATTTGGAACATACCCTGCTAAGAGTCCCACATGAGCGAGTCTCATCTAATAAAATTAGGCTTATAAGTCTTAAGGAATTTTTCCACCTGATTGACTAATCTTTTGAGATGGACTCACCCTTTAGACTCATTCTCACATTATAACTTCTTCAAAGAAACATAATTGCTGTGTAACATTGACATAGATTTGTAGCCTACTTTATTTGTGTACGTACTCGTGAAAGTTGGAACTCTATATGGCACTTTTACATTATTTGTGTGAGAAATACTGGCAACACACTCGTTTCAATACCCTTCAAAGGGTGAAATGCTAGGGGATCCCATTAAAAAGGGAATGGAACCTACTCAACAGGGAATGAGACATCATTTAATTAATGTCATTTGTTTTTCATCCAATAATAGAAATATCCTAAAACAAAATTAGGGTATGCTACTAGCATTTTTCTAGTACCTTTTGAGTGGAATTATGTTGCTTTTCCATATAAGTAAATCTGTTTTATTAGTTCAAACGACTAATCCTTTTGATTAAATATTTTGGAATTGCAAAAGCAGATCCTTTTCATTTCTTCCCTCAAATTTAATACTCGGGGATAAAATTATTCTAGGACTTTGGACTGTATGTAATATGGATGTCATTTTTGTTCAGGTAGCAGCAATATCTGAACAAGCTTCTGAGATAACTGGAGACCCTAGTTCTGAAAAGTTTTCAAGTTCTTCTGTTTGGAAGTTATTTGACATGCACGCTGTTGTTGATTCCACTGAAGATCTTTTATTATTCATATTATCAGACAAGGGTCTTAGAGTGCGTCTTTTCCTTCTTCGGGATATAATAGAAGCAGCTGATGTGTTTCTGCAAAATGAAGTGATTGATTGCGCATTAGATGAGAATCCTCAAGGGCAGAGAACATTACTATTTGAGGTATTTTCTTTTGTTAAATATATTCTACATGCATTTGTGCATCTCTAGGGAATAAATAGTTTATAATCTCCTCACTCCTGAGGAAGAGGATTTAGTTCGCTCTTGCACATAACTTCATACATTATGTCCCTTCAACCCTTTCAGCTAAATTCGACAAAAGAAAAATAAAAGAACTACGAAATCACTCCAAGGACCCCTTTAGCATACTTACTACTAGATCACCTCAAGCACCTCTTCGCATTTAGGGGTCTCAGCCCTTTCTGAAAACAATCCGATTAAGAAGTGAACTTTAAGTCTAACTCGAGGTGAGGTTTGCACCCACTTATATATTTTAAATTGGCCTTATTTTTAGTCGATGTAAGACTTTCAACATACTCCCTTTACACTGAGGTATATACATCTCGAGCGTGAGACTATACATTAATGATTGGTCCAATAGTGACCCGAAAGTGGTTGGAACAATATGTCCAACAAACAATAAATATCGTTAGGATAGGTTTTAACCTGGCTTTGATACAATGTTAAGAAGTGGACTTCAAGCTTAACTAAAGCCGGTTTTGTGGAGTTGAATTAGGCTTAAAGTCCACTTCTTAACCCTTACAGAAAAAACTATAATAATAAATCAATACTAAATAGAGGCAAGAGACCTAGCTTAGAGATTAAAATATGAAGTGGAACAAAAACAAAATAGAAGAAAATAAGAGTTTTATTTGACTTAAGAATTAAAATATAGTGAGTTTTTTGTTGAAGGTTTTGCGGACTAGTTAGCCTCATCATTGGTTTACACGGGTCTAAACAAGGGATTAAAATACTCAATCTGTCCTGGGCATTATCTGACGGACTAGCAAACAGCCCACATGGCCCACCTGTATTGTCAGTCATCTTTATTTTTGCTTAAATTACATACTAAATATGTTCGTTCCTTTTGGCCAATAGATTTTTAGTTGTTCCGTTCTGCCAAATAAATGGGCTAAATGTCTGAGTAATTTGTACGTTGCAGGAGCGTGATATCCTGGGTAGGATTGGAAAAGGGTTTGATTACCTTTGTGAAGTAGTGAAGTTGGCGCCAGCGGAGTGGACAGCAATGGTTATTCGGATGTCCGTTAGGCCCGAGGTTCACAGATTTGCTTTAGATATTATTTCAGCTATAGCTTTGCATTCTAGCTACAAATTACAGGTAGCTTCTTGGCTCTATTTGTCAAGACTTCTTCACAAAATGACAATTTGAGGTACCAATATTGTCGTTGACACTCATTAATTAGAAATAGGTGAGTGTTTTCCTCTCTACATATTCATTCTTAGCAGCATAAACATTCCATTCTTTACCTCTACACGCTTCCCAAAATTTACTTTCATATTTTTCAGCAGTCGTTAAGAAGTTTTTGGATGTAATTTTTAAGTTTACGTTTCTTGCGCAACTCATTTTAACCGATACTTTTAGAAGGGGACTTAAAAGTTTAACTAAATATCATAACTTCCTTGTACTATACTACTGAAAAAATGACGTATTGATAAAATGCTTAGAGTTTTAATACAAAAGTAAGATATATATTTTGAGAAAAAAAATATCTTGTCCATGTCCGATTGCACAAAATCATATTTCTAAAATTCTGTTGAAGCAGTGAAGAAAGTCATTTATGGATTAATCTAGGAGATAAATTGTGACCAGCCTCATAATAATTTAATGGTTTTACTATGGATAACTTTTGTTAAAGAACATTACAAAATAAAGAAATCTGGATGAAATTAACATGAAAAAGGTGCATTACACATTTTATAAGACATACCATTATAGTAACAGTGGAATTGATCGTTGATAAAATGACATAATTGAATGTTAATGTAAAATGTAATTTATTATCAATAAATGTAGTTTCAGAAACAATGCAATGCAGATTTCTTATTAATACCAACTATAAAGAGTTTGCAACAGAACTAGTAAGTTTTAACGGAAATACTCATTAAATTTTAGGATAGGTGTTTATTGAAATTTCATGCAAAAATAAAAGGAAATAAAAATATTTGAATAATTAGTTAGGGTTAACTAGATTGATTACTTGAATAATTCACAAGGACGTGTTTAAAAAAAAAATCCTTTTTAAGGTGGGTCAAAAAAGGCTAATGGGCTCAGTTTTTTGCAGCTTAAAACGATGTAATATTTGGGTATTGCTTCTTACATTCTATCAAATTTCTATCTCACCCCATCAAAAAGCTACCGGAAATTTTATTTTTGTATGACAAGATAGAGTGATTGCTAAGTGTTTATTATGTTTTGAAAAATAAATTACGGAAGTGATAGGGTCTAAGAAGAAATTTGATAGGGTGTAGGAAGCCATATCCGTAATATTTTTAGAAATAGAATAAAAAGAGTAAAAAAATTCTGTTCTTGAAGAAATATTTTGGGGCTACTACTTCCTGTACACCATTTTTTTCTTCTTACATCTCCTAATTAATAAAATATCACTAGACATATCTAACATTTCATTCTCCTTCTCCCTCTCACCATATTTTTTAGCAACTTTTCTTCAACCTGTGCATGAGGTGATGAAGGAGTCTCAAGCAACGGATGCCACCACGTAAAAGGATTTTCATTTTACTTAAACAAATGCTTTTCTCTCTACTATCACTTTCCACTCCTCTTTCATTTACATTACTAAGAAGTTGAGGTTAATGAAATGAAGTCCAAATTATACAATATAAAATATGTCTTCCGAATTCACCGTTTCGAACAAGATGTTTCTTTTTAATATTTTGAAACAAGTATTTTGCAAAGTATTTTTGGTTCTGGAAATTTCTTTCTAAATTGAGTGTTTTGAATAGTATTTTCAAATTTGAAATATAAAAGAAATTTTCTAAACAAACACTTGTTCTATAATTTCTTTTTTACATTTAAAATACCTTCAAGAGCAGTGATTTCTGTTTGAAATACAAATATTTTGGAAGATATTTTACACCCTATCTAATATTTTCTTGCACCCCATCTAAGCTTCCAGAATTTTTGATCGAGAGGTGGGATGAATGTCTTCTGAAAAAGTATTTCTGGAATTGGTTTAATGTGTTCTGCAAAGTAAAATCCGGTTTGATGGAGTGTTTGAAAAAAATTGATGAAGGGACAGGACGAAACACCCCCACATAAGAATGGTAATTTGTACACCAATTGTCTATTAGCAACATCTCTATTTGACTGCAGAGTTACGGATATGATTGGTACAAAATACATTGAAATGACTCTTCATGGAAGATGAATTTACATGAAACATATAACACTGAATTAAATATAAGTCTAATTCACTTCATTAATTAAAGCCACGTTCAACCTAATATTTTTTTTTATAAGAAATTTATAGATTTTCATTTTTTGTATTATGTTAAACTTTTTCGTATCTAATTAATGTATATTTACCTCAGACTTATACGTCACAGTAAAAAATAAATTAAAAATAAACTTAACATAAACAAGGATAAAGGAGCCATGGATTAACATGTGAAGCTATGACAAAATAAAACAATGTTATATTTGGCATTGACTAGGTCCATCTCTAAGCTTTCAGTCACGAATATGGCAACTAATTTTAGTAGAGAATATGAATCACTAGAATGGATGACAGAGAAAATTTCATGAATCACCGAACAACCTTTGAACTTTAAAGGAATCGTCAAAAATAAAAAGAAAATAATAGTAAACACTCTTATTTCCTTTTCTTTTTCTAATAACCTTTTCATTTGACCATTTTTTCAAAGTAATTTCTCTAACTAATTTTCAACAAGAATATGATACCAAGAGTGCACATTTCTTTTCTCTTCTCTTTCTTAGGTACCCTTTCTCTCTTCTTTCTCTCTTGTAAGGCAATTCTTCCTATAATCCAGTAGTTTGTACCTCGGATTCAGCATCTTTATGCCTTTAGCTGCATCACAAGCAATATCTATGAACATTTGTATCATTTTACTTGCGGTGTTCTATGTGCAGGTTAAAACTTGGAACTTGATGATTGCAAAATGACCCAACTAATGTTATGATCACTTGGAAGCATTGGCAAGAAAGAAGACACATATTGGTGTTGTTTGTTCACATATTGGTGAAAAAAATAATATCTGGGTAGCAAGAGTATATTGCAGTAGTAATATGAGCTTTCTCAATTCAATTTTATCTGCTCCAACCCAGGTTCAAAATTCCCAGGATGCAATTGTGAGCGGTGGGGGTCTAAGGTTAAATTCTTTCTCACATTTTCTTTCAATTTAATTATTTGGTTTGATGGTCGTGTTCTTAATTTAGATATTCATAATTTTGTTATGTCTAATTTTTATGATGTTTTTTTGTTACGATATGTTTTTGTAGTCATAATGGAAAATTCAGCTATGGGTATGCTAGCTCTCCCGGCAAGAGATCTTCAATGGAAGATTTTTACGACACAAGAATTGATGGTGTTAATGGTGAAATCGTTGGCCTTTTCGGAGTTTTTGATGGTATATTTATATCTTCATCTCATCTTCATCACCTAGTTGTACACTAACAGGAAAATATGTCAAAATATTGCAGATAGTACTTATGCTATGTGTTACTCTTATTAATATTCTTTTTTTTTAATCAGCATGCTTGTTTTCTATATTTTCCATTTCTTAAACTATTCTGAAACTAAGCTTTGCATTTAACTTCATATTTTAATATGAAGATGTTTGTGTACTTGTGCATTTGTATTATCCATAGATTACTGGTTTTGTACTTTTGCCCCTCATATTAGTCTCTCTGATTTTTTTAGCTCCTATTTTCTCAAATATACAGAAATTGTTAGGTTTGCTTACAGTTGGAGTTTAATGTTACATTTTAAATGTCAATGTAAATGTGTGGACTATTTGATTAGTTTATTTGGTTGTAATGTTGTTTTCTACACACCATGATTTTCAACCCCTTTAACGCAAAAATCTCTTTATAGTAGTCTCATTTGACTTTAGAACCTTTATCATCAATTCCTCTTCCTGAACAGTGATAAGCTAATAGTGTGTCATTTGTTGGAGGATAGATGTTTTTCCCTTTAAATGTTTGTTTCTCTCATTCCGTTGGTTAAACCTATGCTTGATAACTAGAAGTAATTCCTACTTTTTATAATTATAACTCTTTCCAGGTCATGGTGGTGCTCGTGCTGCTGAGTATGTCAAGAAAAACTTGTTTAGTAATTTGATCAGTCACCCAAAATTCATTTCTGACACCAAATCAGCAATATGTATGTTATCTATCTATCTATCTATCACTACTAGATGTTTGATATTCTCCAATTTGCCAAATCCATAGATTGATCTTTTTCCAAGCAATTTTTTCCCACAGCTGATGCATATAATCATACCGATTCTGAGTTTCTGAAGTCAGAAAAGAACCAAAATAAAGATGCTGGTTCAACTGCTTCCACTGCGATTTTAGTTGGTGATCGCTTGCTTGTTGCAAATGTTGGGGATTCCAGAGCTGTCATATGCAGGGGTGGTAATGGTAAGGGCGTGTTTGCTTTGGAGATACTTGCATACATCTATCTATAATGTTGCAGTATTAATTTTGTATTGTTATTTAATTTGATTATTGACGTAGTATTACTGTTTATATAAATGCGAGTATGCTTGCTTATATAATATGATCTTTTTTTTTAACTTTTCATACCATTATTGAGAATTTCGTCCATACTTCTGAGTCTTTGGTGGTGACTGTCTTGATATCAGTTGTTTATTATTGATGAAATATAATGAGTAGTCACTTGTTTTAGAGTGTGTAATGTAATGTTAGTATAAAAATGGCATGGGTTTGTGTATAACATGTTCTTGTGCATCTGCAGTGACAGAGTCGTTTTAACCTTCATATGTTGAATATTTATAATTATTATTCTTCGAATCATGGTTTTTTCTAGCTATTGCTGTTTCTCGAGACCACAAACCGGACCAAACTGATGAGAGGCAGAGGATTGAAGAGGCTGGAGGATTTGTTATGTGGGCTGGTAATGTAAACATGTAACATATAGTTGCCCTCAGTTTTCTGTTAAATTTAAAAAATATATATCGTTTATCATTATTGGTGATATCACATAAGCAGGAACTTGGAGAGTTGGAGGTGTTCTTGCTGTTTCTCGAGCATTTGGTGATAGACTCTTAAAGCAATATGTTGTTGCTGATCCAGAAATTCAGGTTGGTGACATTCATTCTTAAATAAATGTATAGTTTTAGACCTTTGCTTCTGTAGGACATGATGAAGTTTATGAGCAGTATAACAAAATTTAGAAGAGATGTTCCTTCTGCTGATTTATCTTTATTCTTATTGTTGTACCCTTTAATTTTATTTGTCTAGTCTCTTTCTTTGGTATATTTAAGCTACATTTTTGCCAATTTGTAGGAAGAAAAAGTTGACAAGTCCCTTGAGTTTCTTATCCTAGCTAGTGATGGACTATGGGATGTTGTCACAAATGAGGTTTGCACTGATGTTCATTTCTTCTCATTGAGAATTAAAATGCATCTTCATCATAAGCATTTATAGAAGGGGGGGAAAGGGAGCAGTAGAAGATAAAACCAAATCCAAACCAATGATAAATGCTTAGGTTACAAAACATAAAGTCAACTACTAATACATCTCATTTTTCCTACTCAGCTAAGATTTAAGTGTTTTCAGGAAGCAGTTACTATGATTAAACCAATTGAGGATGCTGAAGAAGCAGCAAAGAAGTTGATGCAAGAAGCATATGGGAGAGGTAGTGCTGACAATATCACATGTGTTGTGGTTCGCTTCTTGACTAACCATGGCACTTCTTCTCATGGTAATTCTGGAGTTAACCATGGCACTTCTTCTCATGGTAATTCTGGAGGTAACCATGGCACTTCTTCTCATGGTAATTCTGGAGGTAACCATGGCACTTCTCATGGTAGTTCTGGAGGTAACCATGGCACTTCTCTTGGTAGTTCTGGAGATAACCGTGGCACTTCTTCTCATGGTAATTCTGGAGGTAACCATGGTAGTTCTGGAGGTAACCATGGTACTTCCCATGGTACTTCTGGAGGTAACCATGGAACTTCTCATGGTAGTTCCGTAGGTAATCATGGCACTTCCCATGGTGATTCTGGACATAACCAGGGCATTTCTCATGGTAGTTCTGGAGGTAACCAAAGCATTTCTCATGGTAATTCTGGAGGTAACCAAGGCATTTCTCATGGTAGTTCTGGAGGTAACCAAGGCATTTCTCATGGTAGTTCTGGAGGTAACCAGGGCATTTCTCATGGTGGTTCTGGAGGTAACCATGGCAATTCTTCTCATAGTAGTTCTGGAGGTAACCAAGGCATTTCTCATGGTGGTTCTGGAGGTACTCATGGCACTTCTTCTCATGGTAGTTCTGGAGGTAACCATGGCACTTCACATGGTAGTTCTGGTGGTAACAATGGCATTTCTCATGGTGGTTCTGGAGGTAACCGTGGCACTTCTTCTATTGGTAGTTCTGGAGGTAACCATGACACTTCTTCCCATGGTAATTCTGGAGGTAACCATGGCATTTCTCAGGGTGGTTTTGGAGGTAACCAGGGCACTTCTTCTCATGGTAATTCTGGAGGTAACCATGGCACTTCTCATGGTAGTTCTGGAGGTAACCATGGCACTTCTCATGGTAGTTCTGGAGGTAACCTTGGCATTTCTCATGGTGGCTCTGGAGGTAACCATGGCACTTCTTCTCATGGTAGTTCTGGAGGTAATCAAGGGCCTTCTTCTCATGGTAGTTCTGGAGGTAATCAAGGCCCTTCTTCTCATGGTAGTTCTGGAGGTGCTAATAAGAACCCTCCGAAAGCTGGTTATAAGTGAGTAATGGATCCAAAAATCAGAAGACTTGGTCAAAATTGGCTTATAGCTGGTTGTGGTTAGTAATATAGCAGCTATGGTGTTTCAACAAAAATTAGAAATAAATTCCAACTCATTATGGCCCTGTTGCATAACCAAATCATTATCTCACTTCCATGATTTAGCCTATATTTTGTATCTAGCAAATGTGTGTAATGTGTGGTCAGAGTTGTCATGCACCTTCTGCATGTAAACACGATTCTTTTAGTTTGTCTAAATTTCTTTCATGGTTAGTTATTTATGTTATATGCAGCAGTCCTTTCCTACATTCATTGTAGCTTGTATAGTATACATAAAAGAATATTGATTTCCCTCCGCTTGCTATTTATGTTTGTTGTTATGGTTTACAATTTGAATCGTATTGTGATTCTTGTTAATGATGGCTCCTTGTAAAGTATCTATGCTTTTGTTCTAAATACTACCACAAGTGCTCAGGATCATGATGATCAATGAGGGTAGAATCCTAAAGTTGTTTAACTAGTATATTTTTTAAGTTCTTCTGACAAAACTTATTGTAGATTCAATGTAGTGCATTTACTATTCTATCTTTCCCCTATTACACTATAATAATAACAACCATTGTAAGTTTTTTTTGGCAATTAAAAGTATGTTAATTAGACATTTATGAATATCAACAAGACTCATAGACATTTATGAATATCAACAAGACTCATAAATCATTAATAGAGGGAGAAAAAACATAAAGCTACTAAAACATTGGTACAAGGATGCTCAAACTTTTACTAAATCATTACAATTTTGCATTACAAATCCTCTTTTATTAATTGGTCTTTGTTTATTTATTCATAAATCATGAATTAATTAATGTACGCCTTTCATTGTTTTTCTTTAAATATGGAAATCACAAAGAAAACAAGGTTTCATTAAATGAATTGACATTAAGTTGTGTGTGTTGTTGAACAAATAACGTCATAATAAGCTTGTTTTTAATCAATCTTATATAAAGGGTTTTCATCGTCCACGATGTCATACAATTTGAATAACTAAACAAGTATATATGTGATCTTATCTTATTATTATCTAGTTGTATGTCACACTACTAGAGTTCTCTAGATTTGATTTAAATATTTTTGCTTAATGAAAACAATGTATCTTTTAAGAAGTGAACCCGTCTAAGGATCAAATCCATCGTAAGCTCGTTAGATTTTCACCAAAAAATAATTTAGAAAAAGTCTCACTTGTCTAGCTAATAAGGTCATAGGGAGTTTTTTCACAAATTTAAACCTATCTAAGAATCAAATTCATCCTAAACTCACTAGATTTTCACACTAACAAAAAAAAAATCAATAAGGGTCTCACTCGTTCAACGAATACGGTCATAGACAACTTTTTTCACAAACTCACCTAGCGACCCTTATCTGACCAAGTGAATAAGACTATCTTTATTCTCTAGATTTCTTTAAAACTATTTTCGTCCATGGCCAAGTGAGTTTGCATAATTTGTAGATACAAATATAATATATTATATCACTAAGGAGACCATTTGGACAATTTTACTCACTTCTCATGTTAAAATATCTATCTTATAGTTAAATAAAAACAACTCAAATGAAACTATATTATGAAAGTGATAGATCAAACTCAATTTACTAGCTTACAAACAAATCTACACATAACTCGTTTCAAAAGCCATACTTGAAAATCAACATTTCCAACAATCATAATATATCAATCTAACAGTCATAATATATTCTCATTCACACAATAATTATAGCCTCAAGACATCAATTCAACAATTTAAGTATTATAATAGTTTACCATTGTTAAGAGATTCGTATTATCACAAGTACTCACATAGTACAACTCTCATAGGTAATTCTAACCACACAAAAAAATAATACTCAAATCAATTATCTGAGCACACTCTTGTGGTCACAAAATAATAGATATTCATTTTATGTTACTTAGATTCACGTGCAAGTACACAAAGGTTACATGCAATAGGGCACTAAAAAACAATGCAATAGAAGAACTTATTCTATATAATTTTTTTATCAAATAATTGTATTGCCCTCTGTATAAAAAGTCCTAAGGTGAATTTCAATGTTTAAAATAATGAAGGATAAAGTCAGAAATATAAAACAAGTACAAGAGAGCTAGATGTTTTTATAAAATAAACTCGATTAATAAAAAAAATTATTTATAGTTTGATTTTTGAATAATAAAACAATCCAGTGTTATCTATAAAATCATTACTACTTTTTATATCCTTAGATGAATAATATGACATATGAAAGTGAATATATATTTGCACTTAAGTGTTGAAATAATGTAAATCAGGAAATATAAAGAGAAATTATCACTAATAAGATATACGAGAAATATAAATAAATATTAAATAACATGAAATAAAAGGTAAAAAAAAAAAGATATTGAAGAAGAGAAAAGATCAAAGAAATTTTTCTATTGATTGGTACTGTAATCATGTTCTCTTTTATTTGTTTAGTGCATGAATGTTCACTTTTATTTTATATATGATAATAAAAAACTATTATTATTGTTACTATTATAATTATAAAATTAAATGTAAATAATTTTTATAATTTTATTGTAAATAATATTTATTTATTTTGTAGATAATCTTTTAACTAAAAAATAATTAAATTTAAAGAAACAATCAAATAAAAAAAACAGTTAAATTTAAATAAATAATCAATTTAAAAAGTAGAATTGATAAAATAATCAGGTTAATTTAAAAAAAAAATATTTAAGGATAAAATTAAAAAACAAATGTGAACACCCGAAAGAAAAATGTTTTTTATATATGTATTCAAGATGTTGTGACAATAATCACCCAAGATACTTGTTGGATAATATCTAAATCACACTTTTGTATGTTCTCTTCTTATAAAGTTCATTTGTCAAGAGTTTTATTTAATTACAAGACTTAATTCTTTATAAATGTTCTGCTCTGCTATAAAATTGATTGAACATGAAAAAAAAGAAAACCAGTTAGTTAGGCAAGTAACTATAGTGATTGAATTAACTATGCTTATGGTTTTTTTTTTTATTGAAAATTACATATAAATTAAAAATAAAATCAATTTATAATATATAAAATAATGTAAAATAAAAATTTAAAGTTCGATATAAATTAATTTTAAAATTCATTTATAACATTATTTTAAAGATTGACTAAATTAAAATAAAAACTTACATATTTATCATTATCCTTATTTATTTTTCTTCTATGTTGTTTATTGTGTTCTTTGTTCTTCTATCTCTTTTTCTTTCATCAATGCCTACAAAAAAAATGATAAATTCATCAAAAATAATATAATTAATCTCTGTTATCATATAATGAAAAAACTAAATAAAAAATAAAAAAAATGATGTTAACAAATATTTAAAAAAAATTAAAACAAATGAATATCATGCATAATATTTTCAGCAATAAAAACATATTTATTCTAAAAACACTTCTCAATTAGTTAAAGACAGAAATATATAAACAATTATTTAATTCTAAAAATAAATACTTATAAATTCTAAGAAAAAATTCCAAAAGACACCTCCATCACTTACACAGATGTATAATAGTAATATGATTAAATTCAAATGAAGTGAGTGAAGATCATTATGGACTCAGAAAACATTTATTCAACAAAGCACATTTTGCTCTTATGTACGAGAGAGAACCAAATATTTATCTTCATCGTCCACATCTTCATAATTAGTAAATACAATAAAACTAATAAATTAAAATAAAAGTAAAATACACAAACTAGAAATAAAGAAAAAAATATATATAAATATCAATCTTTGAGTTCAAAGAAACATAAAGGAAAAGGAAATTGTGATGGATAAAGTTGAGAAATAGTAATTGCTAATACAAAGAAATAAAGGGTGAATGGAAAAATGAAAAACAATTACAATCTTTATATAGAGTTTTTTTTTTTAATTTAATACAGTTAACCTTGATAGAAACTTTAATTGGCTAGTCAACTTGCATAAATACTATAAAATGTATCTTATATTCATTCTTGCTTATCAAGTGATGTACTGGCCAAGTTATGAATATTATATTAAGTTATGATTTTTCAAATAATTTCTGCATAGTTTGAAAAACCTTATAATATTTAAGTCAATTGAATAACCTACGAAGCAATCATAAGTTATAAACATTGTCATTATTTATATGTCTGACTTTTCTATTAATACTAGATACAAGCCAAGTATTACAAACCAATTTCAAATTTTATTTTGTGAAAATAAAAAAAAGTTGAAAACAGGGAGGGTTTAAAATGCATAACAATTATATAAAATATTTATTTTTAGCGTTTTGAATGCTTAACTGCTTATTAAATTATCATGCATAAACCATACTTTATAAGTATTTTTAATTTTTGTCTTGCATTAACATTCAATAAATATCTTAGATGAAGAAAAATCCTCAAACAAGTATATTTTACTGGCTAGCTCATTAAAGCAAAGGTACGAGACCACATAAGATAAATCAAAGGTAACTTTTTGTGTAATTAGCTAAATTAATGGTTAAAATCAATTAATGTTTTGTCTAAATTTTTCTGTTGCGATGACATTTTTACCCCTCGAGTATGTAAATTTTTTATATATTGAAATATTTACAATGTCCATAAATGATTATAGAAATATTTTAAACATATATAAATTTAACATAGTAATTTAAACTTTAAATTATAAATAGAAAATGAGTTAAATATGTTTTTAGTCCTTATTCTAAAATTTTGTTCCTTTTAGTCCTCTTAGTTTTGAAATTCTTATTTTTAGTCCTTAAAATTGAACGGTGTTAAATTTTCTTTGATGTGGCAAATGGCGAGCCACGTGTTATGTCACATTCCCTAGCTACTTTTAATTGACGTGGCAGTAAAGGTGTGGTGGTCGGTCAACCTGGTGGATGGTCGGCCACTCGGCATCTACTCCAACGAACCGTTCGACCTCACTTCCCTTTGTCTTACCGTTCGGTTTCTCCTTTAGTGCACCGTTCTGCCTCAGTCACTCTTTCTATCTTTCGCTTACCGCTCGGTCTTTTACTCACCTCTCGGTCTTACACCCACACACTTAACTGTGTGGTCCTGCACACAAACACACACTTAACCGTTCGGTTCTGCTCAGAAACATACAAGTAACCGTTCGGTCCTGTACACTCACACACTTAACCATTTGGTTCTTCGTGTTCACACCACTAACCGTTCGGTCCTACACACCAGACCGACCACCAGACCGAGTGGCCGACCACCAGACCAAGTGATCGACCGAGTGGTCGACCGACCACCAGACCTTTACTGCCACGTCACATAGTAGTCAGGGAAGGTAGCATCAGACGTGGGCTTGTCGTTTGCCACATCACTCAAAAGTTAACGCCATTCAATTTTAAGGACCAATTATAAGAGTTTCAAAACTAAGAGGACTAAATGAACAAAACTTTCGAATAGGGACTAAACCCAAAATCGCTTGAGAGTTAAGGAACTAAAAACATATTTAACCCATAAAAAATTGTAAGTTACACATTAAAATATATTTATTGTAGATTTTAATAGTAATAAAATGGCTTCAACAAGTAGTCTACTTCGGTGGGTGTTATACCTATGACACCCAAGGAGATTGCCATATACTTGTCAGTGTGGGTGTATCCTATTTTAGATAAAAAAGTTTAGTATAATGTAAACTTTTACAAGTTTATTATTAAGAAACTTATTCAAGTTTGATATTTTTAGTCTATATACTTTTCTTTTGTTTTCAAAATTTTGACAACATAATATTTATTTGGACATTCCATGAATATAACAGTCTGTAATTTTCAAGAGTCAGATATACTTGAACTCAATACCAGTTAATTAATTCAAACAATACTAATATCATCTACATGTATTTCAAATATATATATATATATATATATATATATATATTGAGTAATATGTTCTCATAATTCAAACTAAATTTGAAATCCAATCCAAGCAACTCGGTATCAACATTAAAATTTATGCAACTATAACTTTTTTTTTGTTATTATTTGACTTTAAAAAGAATAAATTATATATTTTCACGAAGTGATACATATACATTAAAAGAACTATCAAAGTTAATGCACAGTTAAAATTTTGAAGTAGATTGCTTAAAAAAATTGTGTTGCTAACACGTTTTGCAATGTATAACCATTTCCTAAACTAGAATAAACCAACCAAACCAAATGTCCAGAACAAACATAAACGTCACAGATTATTTCTTTGAAAGAATATTCATATAATTAAGTGTGTGTCTGTTTCAGTTTCTACAATATTATATAAATTTTATATATAATTTTATTTTCTGTTTAAAGATAGTTTATTTGTTGCCATTGAGGAAATATCAAGTTTGTTTTTCAATATCTTTTAGTCAGACATTGCTTGACAGGAACATGAAACTAAAAAAAATAACAAGAAAAGCAAACAAAAATATCATGGAGTAAATTTTTCTTAGGACTTGAACATGTTAAGATTAAAAAGAATAATTAAGCCTAAACTTAATTATAAATTATATTCACTGGACAAATAAAACACTACACGTTAAACAAATCTTTGACGATCTTTGAAAACTGTATTGGATTCTAAAAAAAAGAATTATAGAATTAGGGGATTTCATAACTCTTTGGAAATAAGAAAAATCCAAAGAAAAAAGTAATTTAGTTTGAAAATGAAGAAGAGAGTTATAAATACAGCCAAAAATTCATTTCAAGTTTGTAGTTCCGTGCGACGTTAAACTTCAAATACAGATAACTTTTAAGTGGTTGTTAGGCAAACAAATGCTACTACTACATTTGGTCATACTACTTACAATTAAGAAATTTAATTAATGTAGTACAATTGTCAGTATTTTGTATTTTAAGCTATTGATATTTATTCTCTAATTTTTTTATTTGATTAATACATTTATACTTCAGAGAGTAATTTAGGGGGACGCGTAAATTGTGTAATATATAATTTAGAAAAAAAAAACATATTAAAACAATAATACTTACAAATTTTCTTAAAGAATCCCTTAGAAAAGACCGTAAGAAATACTAGTGACTTTCAAAAACACTTTCGAATAGCATAATAGTGAATATATTGGAATATATTCCAAAGCCAGGTTGAATGAAAAGTAAAAATTTATTTATTTTTTTTGTTAAACTTTAGTTGAATGGTTCGTTAAAAAAAGCACGGTAACTAGTCTTTTTTAATGGACAGAAAGAAGAAGAATCAATGTTCATATAGATAGATTCAAATTTAAAAAAGTAGTTATAGTGTTGTTGTTAAAAGTGATTCTAGAAGAATCAAGGTTGTTGTTCCAATTCAAATTAGTATTAATGCTGTTTGAACAAAATGGTTGGACAAATTTCTTCCTAATAATTCTTAAAAAATAAAATAAAATAATTTAATGCATAAATTATTATTATTTAAATTATATCAAAAGCTTTCTATAAACTAACTTGTACATAATTAAATTTATTTATGTTTTTTTTCTCAATTAAAATCCCTCATAGAGAAATTTATTCTAACATGTCCAAAATATAAAGTTTTCAAACAATTGAATATCGATTGTATAAAATTATGTTTAATAACAACATTTTATATAATATATAGTATATTTATAAATGGATTATGGAATACATTTTATTTACAAATTTGATTATCGAATTTAGCTGCATTCAAAGTCAAAACATTATATTAAAATATTAGATTGATCAAAACTTAACCTACCTACCAATTTTGAATTTATGAATGGCCTCAGAAAGCTAAACCATCCCGTGTTCAAACCTAGGGACCAGATTAAAAAGAATCCCAATATCTCGGAACATGTGCTTTACATCTTACTATTATGTAAAAATGGTTAAAAGAATTGTTTACATTATGACAGCATAAAGCCCTACTCACGAATTAAAATAAAATATTACCCACATGAAACACCTAGAGACTTCCAAGTGTTTTCTTTTTATCCAGCAAAATAGAAGATGTGTATTAAAATATTATAAAGTGATATGATGATAAAATATTACTCAAAAAAATCTTATCATGACGATTCAATCAAATATTAAAATCCAAAAATCTATTTATTTATTGATTCCGAAAGTAGTTGGTACTATTAATGTAGTAAAGTTATTTTCTTAAAGTAGATTGGTGCCGGTTGTTCTTTCTCTTTGAGGAGAAGGAATGAAATAAACTTAAAAGATACTATAAAATATAATTTGTGATTAAAGAAACCTCTTAATCACATGTTCAATACCAATTGTTTTCCAGAATTTGATTTGCGAAACTCTGCACAGCAGCCACAGCCGAAAAGGAAGTGCAATTGCCATCATCGTTTCCTTCGCTTCTTTTTTCACCTTCTCACATAAGCAAAAGGTCCCAAAATTCACCCAAAAACAACGAACAAACTACAAAATCGATCCACAGCAACTGTTTGCAACTTTACATTGCTTAATTCAAACAAAAAAGATCGTAGTATATACACAGCAAAACAAACATAAGAAGACAAAAAGTAAGCAGCAGTAGCATCATACATAGTAGATATATAAAGCGAAATCAGCACGACGGAACGACGCCGTATCCAGCCAGAGGGTCCGCATCAGAACGTTTAGCGAACCTGCCTTTGATCCTTGGTCTCGTTTCTGCATACGCTTTTCTCGAAGCGTAACGAATTGTCTTCTCGAACTTTCGGTTCTTCCTTTTCTCCCGGTACCTCAACACTCTTGCCTCCCTGTCCGCCGCCGAAAACTGAGCCGTCACTGTCACCGCGGCCACCTTGCTGTAGCTGCAGTTCGATATCTCCGACATCGTGTTTCCGTCCGGCACAACTCCAACCTCCATCGACGACGACGATACCTGAAAGAATCAACAACCACAAGAACAAACAAACAAACAAATTAATCCATGTTATCATATTCCACAAATCGATTTCGAAACAACTAAACATCACGGCAAGATAGTGCTTAGACTTACACTTTGGCTCATCTGAGACTGTGACTGCGAGAGAGTGGTGGAATTGTATTTGTAACCGTAGGCGAACGGCTCGTAGTTGCTCTGCACCGGAACCACGCCGTCGGCGGTAGCGGAGCCTTTCGGATCCGCTTTCGGATCCGCGACGGCATAGTCCAGATCTATGTAAGGAACGGGCTCGGATTCGGAGAACAAGTACTGAGAGGAATTTAGATCTGTTTTAGGATTAGGTAGCAACCAGGACGCGGCCTCGGCCTCCTCGGTGCTGACATCAGCGTCGGCGTCGGAGAAGAAGCGGTGGTCGTCGAGAAAGTTGATAGGCGAGGAGGCCTTGACGGAGTGTACGGACTCGTAGAAGGGCGCGACAGGGAGACGCTCGTGGCGGCTGGCGAGGGGGTTGGCGGAGTGGATGTCACGGTCGCAGGCGAGGCAGAGCGCGGCGGCGTCGGCCTTGCAGGTGACGTGCGCGGGCGCCTGCTCGCATACCTCGCAGAGCGCAACGCGTGGGTGGCGCGAGGCGAGCTTGTTGGCGGCGTGGACCTTGGAATCGCAGGCACCGCATAGGAAGGCAGCGTCGGGGCGGCAGTACAAGGTGGCGGTGGCGGACTTGCATGAGTCGCAGAGCTTGGAAGCCATGAGTGGTGGCTCCCTCTACGTCTCTCTCTGTGATTTGTGTTTATTTTGTTTGGGAATGGGGTGTGGTGTGGAAGTGAGGAAGCGTGATTATGTGAAAGTAGTCGAGTCAAGTGTGTCCAAGTCTATCTGGTGGGCCCCGGGAGATCTGAAGAATAACCAATGAAACAGTGGCACGTGGAGAGGCTTAGCCGAATATAGACCCTACAATAAATTTAGGGGTGGGGAAGCAACTGCAATAGAGTCTGTAGGAGAAAGAGGGTTTTGGATTCGGACGCTGTGGTGCCATATTCCAACCCCCTCCACCACTCTTCCTTTTCATCCAAAGCTTTTTGGCATCTTTATAAAATTATTATCGTCACTCACCATAATTCTGTCGTACCTTTTATTCTATCAACACTCTCTCACATTATTATTATTTTTTCGACCTACCAAAAATTAAATACTACTTTTTATTTATTTATTTTTACCTTAATACAGGGTGGGAGTAGTGTCCCGCGTCTATTATTACGACTCTACCAAAAATAAAGTGCTTTCGTATTATGCCTTCATGTTGTTGTCACCTTTTAGGGCATGTTTAAAAAACACCTACCTTTCCGTGCCTATAAAATCAACATTAATCCTGCACATGTTTTATGCTAAAATGTTTGTTAATTTTAAGCTAAATTCATTTTCTATCAAAAATTTTATTTTATTGTGAGAGAAGAAAAGAGTAATATAAATATTATAGATTATATAACGAGAAATTAATGTTTTAGACATATTTTTAAACGTGCTTGAATGTTCTCGTGTTCTCTCTCTACACATGGTGCAGAAAACCTTAAGGTTTTGCTCTACTTATTTGATTTAATGTTTCAAATCACGTGTTCACTTTATAGATTTAAAGAAATGAAAAATGTAAAATGTAATAACGATTTAAAATAAGAAAAAAGATATCTTAAATAATTTTATCTTCTTTTATATAGATTTATTTTATTTTATTTTTGATTCGTGTCTGTAACTAGAAGCATAGTATATTTACCCTTTTATCAATAATTACAAAACCAATAAGTTATTTCTTTAGTGTTAAAAATAGTAAAATACAATAATTAAATTCTTTTAAATAATTTAGTCAAATTTTATTAAATTATCTTTGCATGTTATCATTAATAGTCAACTTTTATAAAAGAGTGAAATATTTTTTTTAATCTCTAAACTTAAATACAAAATTGGGAATCGTGCATGTCTTAATTTAAATACATTTTTTGTTGTTAAACTTTAAAACAAATTGGTATAATTCTTTTAATTTAATAATATTTTTTTCACGTATTAAAAAACCTTTCAAACACAAATATTTGAGTTTAAATGTAAACCTAAAAATTAGCCTAAAACATTACGTAACACATTTAAAAATTTAACATAATTGAGTTAAAATAATCATTTATATTCAATTTTAAAATTTGATTACTAAAAGCATATTTAATATTTTATAATATAATCTCACGCTTATAATAATATTGTATATATATTTGTTTTATTTTCATGGATTAAAAATTTAAAACAGAAAGTGTTTAATTAGTTCACGTCACCTTTATAACTAGAGAATGCCCATAAGATAGGAGAAAGGAAATTACATGTTGACGTTGTTTTTTTGTGTAGATAAGTAATGAAGTAGTTGAAGTTGTAACTATACTCCGAGTTTGGACTAAAGATGATAGTGACTCAATACCGTGGGGGCCTCTTTTTGTTTCCTCCACTTTCTCTCAACTTCATTGCAAACATAATTAAACTTCACTTTTATTTCCTTCCAATCATTCATAGTTTGTTTCACAGTATGCAAAGTAATAAAAAAGTGAAAAGTTGGGGATATGGTTCCAATTCAATGATGTTATGCAAATTTTGTGATTGATGTGTAAAAAAGTGAAACCATGGAAGCTCAGTTTTTTTGCCTCCAAAAACCTTTCACCATACCATATCAATATGCAGATAAATGGTCACTTTCATGACAAAAAGGAAGAATGAAAGAAATGTTTTTTTTAAAATTATTTTACAGCTTCTTCAAAGAAATGTTTGCCAATTTTACGATAACAAAAATAGCAAAAGCATATCCAAATCTAAGTAAGTGCAAAACGTTGCTTTGTGATATTTTTTATGTTTGGTTGATGTCACTATTTAACGAAGAAACAACAGTGTGGGTCTCTTGTGTGGTGTCGGCTGTTGTGTCTGTGTTTGGCCTATTGGTGGCATAGGTTTCGTATCTTACTCATGTTATATTATTGTATTTTTCTATAGTTTCTATTTGAAAATTTACATGCCTCGTAAACTTGTTGTATTCATTTTTTTTAACATTCTGTAACTCCAAAAGGACCTGCATATCGTGTTTGGAATATTTGATGAATTTGATATTAATTTGTATATATGATATTAGATAAAAACGAGTTTTAGTTGTAGTTTCAGAATTTAATTTTTTTTTCTTTACTACCTGGTTATTCCCTTAATCCTTTCTCTATGATTTTTTCTTTTTAATTTAAACTTTTCGAACCCCTTTGTTTTACTAACAACTAGTAATTATAGAATCATATTACTTAAGATGATAAACAACTAATGTTTGTATAAGTTCCTAATTGCATAGAGAAAGGGAAACTTTGAACGTTCTAATTAAAGTATGGACAGCGGTTGTGTGTTTGTAAGTTCCTACTTGCATAGAGATTGGTAAATTTTGGAAGTTGTAATGAAAGCAAGAACAGGGATGAAGAGGAGATACTATAAATGGAATATTTCAACATTTTACTTACTATTCCTAATTAATAATAATTACATATCAAAACCATCTATATTATTATATACTCTCATAAAAACACTATTATTATTGATCAAAACCATACTAACCAAAATAAAAAGAATGATAAAAACTTTTTCGAAAGACCCAACGAATACTAATACAAAAACATTTAATAATAATGTTGAATAACAATGTTTATAAATAAAAGAAGCAATAACAATTTTTAATTAATGCTTTTGCTATTTTAAGAAATAAATGACAATAGCAATAACAATTTTTATATCAATGATATAGAAATAAACTATGTTTATAATGACACTTCTAAGAATGATTGTAATTATAATTTTTAAATTGAAAAATGTAACATTCCAAGAATATAGTGTAAAGCCATATAATAGGAACATCACATTCATAATACTACAGATCAGTTCTTACAAAAGGTAGAACGAACGGTTATGGCCGAACGACCTTACAAAATAGCAAAGGAGTTAAAACTGTACAAATATACAATCCTAGATCGAACGATTTACAAAACACTTATACTGAAAGGTCCTCTAAAACAAGAAAACAGCAGATGGTCGAACGTATTCTACTGTTCGACCTTAACATCTACCTCTACAAAATTTTCTTCTTTCAGCGCCTCTTCCAGCAACGCTTCTCCTTCTGCTCACATCCACACGAATGATCATTGCAATAGAAGGACACGCACCGAACTACAAAACAGACAAGACAAGAAGTAGGGTAAGCTTATGTAATTCAATTCAAGTATCAACATAGATTTCACACAATTCAAATAAACGAGATAATTTCATTCACATTACATGCAAAGCCTAATACTAAACTCTGACTGTCCGGACTGTATGAATTATGTGTAGTTACGACGTTCGTGCACCCGGGTAATGTAGTAACTGGGATACCCTCACAGCTGTCACCCGAGGTTAGTCTGTTCCGTCCAAATTAACCATAAGAACGAGGACCTCCTGTCATTCTCACAAATGACTTACCCTTCTCTACGTGAGAAACGAGTAATCACGAATATCAGGATGAACCGCCAGCTTAGCATGCCCACATTCATACTTTACCAATTCCAATGTACATTCATGAGATATTCCTCCTCGGAATACTCGTTCATACCCAAAGTCATATCATCTATATCATATTCCATCATCTCTCATTATGAAGACCTCAACGGAACCAATTTGAATAAAGATCTCTTAGTATACCAAAAGTCGAACGTTAAACATTAACCTCGAATCAGACCGAACGCTTGGAGTGAGACCAAAAGTCTCCAGTTCCAAAACGGATCAAAACCGAGAGAGTGAACATCGGGTTTAAGAAAGAGTCTGATTACAATAATATTTCTCGAGAACGAATAGGACTAAACGTTATTTACTAAGTGAGCCAATTGAATGAACTGTCTCACGAGAGTTAGACCGAACGCCAACAAGCCTAGGCCGAGTACTAAGACACTAGGTTGAAATCAATTAAGACAGACACTGTGGGACATCAAATAATGGTACTTAACTGAATCCGATGAGTAAACCGAACGTCAATATATACTTAGCTTTTGAATGAGTTAAACATCAAGAGAAATCAGAATGTCAGTCAAAGACCGAGCACTGTAAAGAGCGAACTCTATTGAGTTTGGACGAACGTTCTTATTATCAATATATATTACAGAAAGGAGAATGAGCGCCTGGTGTAAGACCGAGCACTACAAAACTTATATAATAAAGGCTTTATAAATATAAGATTACTATTTAACTAGTATTCAAGAATGAATGAGATATACAATTATATATAGATATACTTAGGTTTACCATCAAACACCAAGGAATGAATACCCTTGGGTGAACGCTCATATACATATATTACAGGACGAAAACGCTCGGTCCTCAAACTAGAATTCTTTCCAAATGAAAGAATCCAGTTCCAACCGAGTCCACAGGAAAACCGAACGGTCAAGGACCATTCAGTGACGAATGTAAACTTTCATATGGAATTACATACTTAGAATTCTTTATATCAATTCATTTCTCAACATCTATTTTCATAAAATCATACATCCATATCATAGTAAATCTTCATACTTCATACAGTCAAAACATATCAATCATCATATTCAATCAGCAACTCAACGAACATGCATCCATTCAAAACGAACGTAGAAACGAACATACAATCAAATTATATAAGCTTCCCTTACCTCTAAGCGTGATCGAACGTTCACAATTCAGAATATGGTTCACCTTTACCAGAGACCTTAGCGTTCTACAATTACACCTTAAGAAACTAAACCAAACAGAAATCCAGAAACTCTCAGAACAA